AGGCGGCGGCCCGGGTTTGCCCCGCGGAAAGCGGCTTCTCGCCCGCCCCGGCCCTCCCGTTGCCGCGTGGCCGTGGGGAAGCTCCGGGAAAGCGGCTCCTGCCTGCGCCCACGTGTCGCATCGCCCCGTGGAGGGAAACGCAGCAAACGGGAGGCAACAGCTCCTGCCTCCCGGCAGCTCCGGCTCCCCGCGGTTCCCGCCTTTGTTCCATGGATAAGGATGAGCAAGGGGGGCGGAAAAACGGCCTCACTGAAGCACCGTGTAAATGTTTGTGGTGATATTTGGAAGTTGTATCTGCTCCCGTCTAATGACACAGGGGAAGAGCTTTCAGGTGTAGTTCTGAGAGCCGAAAGCCCCTATCAAGGGAAAACTCGCAGCGTTTGTGATGGGCTTAAGATGCATCTTTAATATCACTGTGAATATTTGGCAGGTGATGGCAAGTTGGTAACTGAAACAAAGCAAAAGAAACAGTAGCTCATAAATGGAATTAGTGTTTTTTTCATTACAAAATGAGTTTAGGCTACTCCCTTTAAATTGTTGGGCATTTTTGCAAGGATAGAGGGGTGTAGTTGAGATTCATACTACATTGCTGTACTGCCATCTAGGATTCAAAAGTCGATGTTTATTTTATTTTTAAATCGTAGTAGCTAAAGACAAAGACAGGAAGGGGCAGAATGTATTAAAAATCCACCAGATTCTACTAGAGTCAAATATCTAGGCATCAAAATTGCTATTACCTGTTTTGTCCCTGTTTGTGTTCTCTTTCTGAAGTTTTGGTCATGGGTGGATTTTGATTCAAAGTAGCTGAGTTTAGCGCAGTCTCTCAATGAAGAGTTTTGCTTGTAGGAAGTTCGTTAGCTCTTAATTGAGCATGGAAATGGTTCCATTTCTGTCGCTAGGTCAAACTGGGCAAGAGAATGTCTTAGTGCAAAGATGGGCTGAATGGTTTTCTTTTAATATAGCCAGCTGTTCTGGTCAGTATGACAGCTGTTGTTTTTATTTTTAAATGCTGCTTTTGAGTACTGTAATTGGCATGCCATCAGATTTTTAGAACAAATTATATACGTCTCTTATCTGTGTTCTTCAGTAGGGAAATGTTTGTCAGGGAATAAGGTGTTGACTGATATTGATTTTTACTTCATTGAGAATTATGCTCCTGGTATTTGATATTTCCAGTCCCCTACGTAACACTAAAATGCACTATAAAGGATTGGGCTACTTATATGCAAGAAGGGCTGCATGATAAGATTTTTAGCTGAATGCTGCTTAGGTCGATGACTGCTGCTCAACAGGGTTTTCTCTTGTTTGAACAAAAGATAATGTTAGATGAAGGCATGAAAATGCAGTGTTTCAGGATAAGAACAACAAGTGAAAAGCCTTGATGGAATTAGTGGTTTTTGCCGTTATTATTAGGAAAAAAAAGCCCCCCAAAACCTGAACTTCCTCTTGATATTTTTCTCCTGTTTCCATAGGAGGAATATTAGTATCAAAGAATGACAGCTGCTACTTCATGAAGTGGATGCACTGTACAAGAAGTCATTGCTTATAGCTACCAGCTTTACTGAACTCTTCCTTACATTCCATCCTTGATTGTAAGTCTATAATATTTATTGCAAAACGATGGCAAGATGCACAGTTTTGTAAATAGATTTCTAGTCAATTTACCAGAGTACCAGGACAAAAAAAGGCCTTCTGTTTTCCTTAATCCTGCCGCTAACTAGCTTTGCGATCTTGAAACAGTCATTAAATGTTGCTCAGCTCTTCTAAATAGTGAACTGGACAAGCTGATGGAAAAAATTGTCCATGTTATCAGATGACAGGTGGAGGAAAGCAAAACACGAATGAAGCTCTGTTGAAGTGAGGTTGTCTAATGGGAGCTTATGGAGGTTTTTTTTTTAAGAAGAATAGCCTGCTGGGGTCTGTGTAAAACTTGGGGGCAAGAGAAGGAAGGCAAAGCTGGCTAAAGTCCATTTTTTGTCATGTTTTTAAGTATATTGGGCTAGGTTTGTACAGAGTCCTTTAAGGATGTCTTCATGGGCTTATAAAAATTGTTGTTAACTACCAAGGGTGCTGGAGAATTCAGATTTTTATGAGCAACCCATCACAGTCATCACAGAAAATTGTCTTTGTTTTGTTTTTAATGTGCCTTATACATACCTTTGATCTCTTGCAGTCTTTTAGAAGTTGGAAGACAACATAGGTTTGATGTTTTGTGTGCCATCAACTGAATTTGGGGCCATCATGAATATAACCAAGGGTGGACTGGTACTGTTCTCAGCTAACTCAAATTCCTCGTGCATGGAACTATCAAGGAGGATTGCTGAGTAAGTAAAACCTGCCTGGAAGGCAGCTTAGTGTCTTGTTGCTGTTATGGTGGGACTTGCTTCCATTCATTTTTGCCTTCATTTTCACATACTGTCTTTTTTTTTTTTTTCCTGCTCCTGCAGGAGGTTAGGAGTTGAAATGGGGAAAGTTCAGGTTTATCAGGAGCCAAACAGAGGTGAGCATTCAATTGGCAAAACTGGAAACATATTTAAGTAGGATGTGGACTTAGTGACTACTCTTTTTTTTAGACTGTTGCATTTTTCTTCTCTGAAATTACATGTTTCTTTTCTTGGCAGAAACAAGAGTGCAGATCCAAGAGTCTGTGAGAGGAAAGGATGTGTTTATCATCCAGACAGTTTCCAAGTGAGTGTTTGAAGATGCCTTACTACTGTTTTGACATGGACTGTCCATAAGAATGCCTCTGTTTCAATTCTTCTTTGCCTTTCTTTGCATGGTCTGTGTAAGCATAAGCTAAGCTTATAGAGGCTTCTCTCTATCTCCCTTTGTCTCTCATGATCACAGAGAAGACATCAGTCTAACCTGTATTTTCAATGAAAATTTTCCCTAGGGCATATCTCTCTCTTTTGTTCAATATATCCTCTTTAAATTCTTGCCATGTTAGCTACCCCAAGTCCAGCTTTGGGTACAAACCTTTAAAAGTAGGAGGGCTATTTATTTTCTAGGCAATGTGTTCCATCTTAAAGTAATTTTCTCTGGTGTGAAAAGAGCTTTGGAAGTGCAAGTGATTTCTCTGTTTCATTTTGATTTTTTTTTTAAGTCTTAGTAACAGGTATGTCTCTTAGTTGATGACCAGTTCTCATCTTTTTAGTTTTTTTTATCTACATGGAAAATGTTTTGTGCACAGTAGATGTTATCTTGGAGATAAATTATGATCTAGTTTTCTGTAGCAACATGCTGTATTACTAAAAACCTGAAAATGATATAACAAACTTCTGGGCTGCCCAAATCAGAATCAGAAACAATGATGTCTAATTTTAGTGAAGAATTAAATGCCACTGCCCTTAGCCCTCCTGAGGGCCACAGCTGGTCTCTTGATGGAGATAGCTCAATCACTGTTGTTTTATACCAAACTGGAATGGAATATCTGGAGCAGATTTAGGTATTGTATTGAATTCAGATACAGATTTCTTTTTTTAATGCATGAATACAGAACTAGATGCTTCTCATTCCAGGGATGTGAATACTACAATCATGGAACTCCTGATCATGGTGTATGCTTGTAAAACCTCCTGTGCCAAAAGCATTATTGGAGTGATTCCTTACTTCCCATACAGCAAGCAGTGCAAGATGAGGAAAAGGGGCTCCATTGTCTCTAAATTACTGGCTTCAATGATGTGCAAAGCTGGTAAGAATGCAGGTTGTTATGGAATGGTTAGTGCAGTGGGAGTTCCCACTGTTAATTTTCAAATTTGTGCACAAACTGGGACTTTAATGACTGCATTTTTTCATAAATTTAAAATCCAAATAGAAACAGTTCTAAATTATGGCTTTATTAAGAATTTGTAGCATGCAGTTTTGATTGTGTCCTACTGAACTGGTAGAATGAATCTGTTGGACTCCTAATGCTTCGTGAGGTCCTGTTTCTCCAC